AACTGTCCAGCGAGCATAAGCAAATTTATACATATTAAATTTCTTGACTACGTTAAGTTACGTTACGTTACGTTACGTTTCTTACTTAAGTTTTGTGCTTCTGGACTGAACATGGTCATGCTGGATATAGTCATGATTCTTATTTTGCATTTGTTTCTGATGCGTAGCCTTTGTATAATTGCGGATTGCGGACTTTTACGTGTAAAATTTACTCATTTCGGTGTCCAAAACAGTCCAAAGTAATGAAAAATATTCTAAATCTCCTTTTACATTTAAGAAAACAAGATATCGCACCAGCCATGATCCTGCTTAGGGTTAGGGCCAGTTAGGGCCAACAACCGTTGGTAACGAGATACAATGAACTTGCCTAAAACCCGATCGTCAATTAATTCGTAATTCAGAGGGGTCTACACTGAATGCCATCTTTAACGTTCTTAACGATCACTTGGTATTATTACTTGACAAAGTTTTTCGAATGTGTCAATAGCTAATTTATTAGTGGGTCATTATAACGGAATGCACTAGGTAAACATTGTTGAGTTAAATGATCCTTACTAATATTATAAATCTGAAAGTGAGTTTCTTTGTTTGTTTGTTCTACCTTCACGCCGTAACTACTCACCTGATTGCTTTGAATTTTTGCAGACGTAAAGTTAGAAGTCCGGATTAAATAATAGGGTACTTTTTAACCCGGAAAATATTGATATTCCCGAGGAAAAACAAAAGTATTTGTATAGATGGCGCTGTGTGTATTAGTAGGTATATGTCATATATAGGCTACTTTTTATTCCTTTGTGACGCGAGCGAAGCCGCGGGTAAAAGCTTGTTTTAAATAAACTTTAAATTACATAACTAGATACTAGTGTACCTAATTATTTTGTTCTTTCTAAACCAAATGTTTAGGCACCTACTTCTCCCTCTAATCTTCTCTAGAGAAGTACTAAATTATAATAAGGATTAATATAGAATCTCTACGCACTGATTTCTAAGTATATTACCTAGGTTCCTTTGTTTATTTGCACACGTCTTGTACCAAACCATGTTTTAGTTATCATACCTACCTAGGTATATGTATCATATCAACAGCTCGCAGCTTACATCTTACTTATCATCTACTGGACTAGGTACGTACTATGGAATATGGGACCTCTTCTCTTTTAACTATTAGGTGAGGGGTTCATATTTACCTAGTCGTATCGAATATAAATATCGTGTGGATAGGTAGTAAGTAGGTACTATAAGTAGGTACCTACATTTATGGGTATCGTGAATCGTGGATGTTGGAGGTGAAATTAACGCCCGCGGCCTAAGCAGCTGGTGTAGTCCCGAGCCGACACAATGGGAACGTCGAGAGTATGTTGTAATGTGTATTTTGGACATGAGGGGTTGTCTCCCCAAACGAACGCCGACGCGACGGTGCGCACAGCTGCCGTCGACGTTAGAATAGCGTTAGATCCCCAATGGTAACACGCTTGAAATATTAATTGTACTTACATAATAATATTATATTGAAAATACTGTAGGATGCCAACATACATACCATACGCGATTAGGCAATCAATTAAAAACATGAAATATTATAGAAATATTACCCAGGGGGTAATATTTTTGGGAACTTGTCTATAATAATATGTATAGTCTACTTATGTCAAGTAAGTACCTATATTAAGTATTGGTTTCTAATATACTTGGCATACTTACATTGAATAAATTTAATAAGAGTATATATACTGAGTACGGAGTCGGTTTGAAAAACGGCCCCTGGACAAAAACTGCAAGTGTGGTCGCTTGTATTCGGATTCTTGTTACACAAAGTAACGCGGTTATAAACCGCTGCGGTTCCACGTTCGAGTGCACCCGACACCTAAGCGCGTTTCCAGTGGAAACGCAGCCTTAGGTCTCTCTGTGGAAACTTTCCACAGAAGCTGAGCGGCGCGGAGCTGAGCAGACTAAAAAAAATTACCATTCACATTGCTCAAGATACACATCTCCGCTCCGATTCAGTGGAAGCAGTGTTAGTAGAGTTGAGAAGAATTACATTTAATTAAATGTATGGTGCGCAGAGATAAGCGGGGTACGGCGGGTCGAGCTTAGTAGAGATGTGCCGGGTGAAACAGGACGCAGTGGTGTACAGCGGGTGTGTGCTAAATGTATTGACTACCCTGCTCGGCTCATCTCCACTTTGAGCTCCGCTCTGCTAGTCTCATGTCCGACCCGGTTTTCTTTTAAAGGTACTTAAGAATAGAAAATGAAATGTTTTAAATAGGAAGACAATTAGTTACCTAATTGTTTAGCTCTAAGCAAAAAAATTTAGATTAAATATTACTCAGTTGGCTCAGTGACCCAAGCAAATAGATCTTGGCTGGCTTGGCGTCCATTACGACTTAACGAGTTAAGAGATTGACTGTAGGTAGGTAGGTCTCGACATTTTTCGCGGTTCTTTATCATTTCTCTTTAATGAGATAGAGGTACTAAAGAAGTAGCTTTTAGCTGCTCCTCTAGCTCAAGTCAAGCCTGCCTCCACAATATCATTCTAGCGATACCTTGGTCGTTCCACCTGACGGCGTCCGCGTCCGGCAGTCCAGCAGGATTGACTAGGTACGTACTTACCAAAGGTACTACTTACCTACCTACTATAGACAAACCTACATTTTGATCCTAGAATCGAACTTTTCTGTCAACCAACCTGTGGGGTCTTTGAGTGATAAGGTCATAGACTATGAAAGGCAGGAGGTAGGAGGTCCCTATGGGTCTCTGTTCAGTCTCCAGCATCTCTCGGCGGGCCTCGCCTTTGGCCCGCTTTAATTCCACCTTGAGCCGAGCGACGTTTGCCGTCCTAGAGGTGATATTATGTGTGAAAAAGTCAAAATGGCACAAAACAAAAAAAAAATACCTACTTATAATTTGTGATAAACACCTTATGGTAGGTACATACTGCGAAACAAGTAATAAAACCTGTGTCTAAACTATTCCCTATTTACTTACTAACGCCCTGTAGTTACACTAGGTAGGTACTTACTAATTAGATCAAAAATTACCCTCCTATAATACCTACTGTTTACCTATACCCTAAGCTTCACCATGCAGTGTTAGATAGAGTCGTCGTGAGTATTAAGGTAGGTACGTTTGTAAGTAAAATAATGATTCATACAATGACGTATATATGTATTGTACGTATGTATATAGGTAGGTAGGTATAGCGTCGGTTTAGTGCAAGCGTTCTGGATTGAGCTCGTTGTGTTGTTTAGTGGGCTCGTTCTCGTCGCTCGTACGCACGCATCGGGTATACAACGTCGTCCCACCTAAAAAAATTGGTCGATACGTTGTAAATACTTATTTCAAAACCAAAGTTGTCTAAAACTTTATAATCAAGTTTCATTATTAATTTGATCCATCGTTATAGCGGTCTGCTGATTTTTTACTGACATTATTGATTTTTTAAATATACTTACTGATGTAAATAGTGGCTTTGGCCACTCGATCAATCGTTTATTTGATACGCGTTGTGGAGATCACTTGGGGCTTACTTTAGCAACTCAGTGCCTTAACCCTCGTATAAGGGCAGGATAAGCTATTTGAAGGGCGTTTTCTCCTTGGAGCTACGTCTCGTCTACTTGTAATTTTAAGGTGAAGCGGGACACGAGGCGGGCGACGCCTGTACCAGACGAAGTAGGCGGTGTCGGGCGACCGCCCTCCGCGGGCCCCGGCCGAGCGCTGTGGAAAACGCATGGGCGCGGGGCGCCGTCACACGGACCCAGTAACAAATATACTTCACGAACCTGTTATCGCTCTTAGTGATTGACCATCAATTTTGTTGTCGATATTATTTATTAAAATGAATTTCAACTAAATGTTGATAATTATAACGATCTTTATTATGTCTTTTGGAATATGACCATGATTTTGATTTTGCTACCCATTTAGTATTCAAGATTTTCTAAAGTGAAGGCTTGATACTATTAAATGCACAAATTAATTAACAAAAATTTAAATTACCGTCTAGAACATCGAAACTTTAATCATTAACTCTACATCTTTATTATGTCGTTCGTTAAATAATGATCTATCACGTATAAAACAAAATTTAATTGTTACATAATTATTATACATACACAATAAATTTTAATTTCATCTAAACTTGTAGGATTGTTTTACCTGCTGACAATATTGTTGTTATTAATATTAATTAATTACTTGAGTTTCTTAGTAGTAACACTTAAAATCGTCTTTCGACTCTATGTAATTTTAGGTATGCCAATAATATGTAGGTGTATTATTTTCGATGTATAAAAATATATATTTATTAATGATTATGAGTTAATTGTAGTTCTATGAGTAAATTATATAATTACGAAAAAAGCATTAATTACATAAAAAATAATATTTGGGAAAACCTAAGCAGCACTAGTTGTTGTTACTCTCGATATAACTTTAAGATCGATACTTGCGCTTCACTAAGGTGTGGCGTTCTCTCCCCGCGGGCCCCGGGCTCAGCCACGCCCAGCGCGCGCATTCTCAAACAAAATCCGCAGAAAATGTTGTGCGAAGAATCGAGTAGAGTCTGCGTCGTTCGTTTCGTTCAGTCACGCACGTCACATCAGTTAGGCAGCTCAGTTGAGTAGTGATCTCGATAGCCGACGAACCGTACGCACGGCGCACACGTGCCACTCGCGCCCATCCCTTCTCCGCACCGCACTTCCCGAGCGATTTCGCCGCTCGCTCGGTGACGCCACCGTACGTCGCTACTCCACCGACACCGCTTGTGCTCGGTGTCGTTCCGTACGGAGCTTTGCTATATCATACTATATTATGTAATACGAAAATAAACAGCTCAAAGCAACCACGTGTGCGCGCCGGCCGGCTTACATACAAATTCGTTAAAAAATATCGTCATTCACGCTTCGAAACAAGCTACCAGTCTTAAAGACCATTCCAATCTTAACCAGTATTTAAAAATCTAATCGTTATTCGCGGGTTAAGGAAACCATAAAAAAGTGAAAATGTCTAATTCTGTGGAACAACAATTTAGCGAGCTTAGTTTGTCACAAGAGGACCATGATCAATATGAACCTGAAGATCACCAAGACCAAAGGTTAGTAAAAGTGTTGTCACAAAATTTTGAATATTCTAAAATTAAGGTCATATTAAGGGTTTGGAATAGTTTGAAGATGCAAATAAAATATCTCTAAAGAAGTACTTAAATAGAAACAAAATAAATTTAGTTACCTATTATTCTAGTTATGTTTGCATTACCTACTGCCGTTTATCACTTACGCTTCACAAAGAGAAAATTGTACATACCTCGTTACATGTCTGCCTATCCTAGTGACTAGTGTGAAGAATGAATGAAGTTTTAATATCTAATCTAGATAATTTATTTGTTGAGGATGCGGCCTTACTGGTTTATTTTTTGCACAAAACTAAAATATGTAGAAAACTGGAAGTACTGGAACTACATTCATCATCATCATCAAAAGCCTATAAGTTGCCACTGCTGACCAAAAACCTCTTCTCGCATGGAGAAGGTTTGAGTATTAATCATCACGCTTGCTCAATGCGAATTTCAAACCTAATTATAACCTAATTATTTCAAACGAAATTATAAGCCTAAGTTTCCTCACAATGTTTTCCTTCACGGTTTACCAATGGTGTCTAAATAATCTTAAAAAGTACATATGCCTAACTCGGAATAACTCACATTGTTACTTTGCCGTTTGTAGGTTTTGAAGCCGCGCCCTCATGCATGAGAAGCGGGCGTTTTAAACCTCCGGGCCACCATATTATTGTACCTACTCTAATTTTGCATCGTCTACTATACTATCGAATTATTTCCATGAAATTGAGATTTTAGTCCTCTCAGAAGTATAAAAGTTGGTACCTAAGTAGATAAAGGAAAAAACTAACCGAAGCGCGAAACAAAATATGTACCTATTTTTTCGTCATATCATAGGTCACCATGCCTACACCATTTTATACAGAGCGGTTTGGTTGATTCGTAGGAGGTACGTTCGCGGGTCGGCTAGTATTCATTTTCTATTTTACATTACAAAATTATGTATTAGTAGGTACCATAATACAGCAGTTTAATGCGGTATCTGTTTACTATTTGTAATCCTTTACAATCCAAATATAACAATTTTATACATTTAAATGTAACTATTTTCAATTTTTTATTTAGATGTCTTTGTTGTCTTAATAGAGGTATATTAAACAGAACGGAATATTATTCTACAAAAATAATATTAATTTTATACCTATATTTTGTAAGATAAGAAAACTATTCTTATTGTACCTACTGCGTTAAAGGCAAGTTGGCGAGCCTTAATATTATTGTACTTGCTTACATACATATTTCATAGCTTGTTATTATCATAGTAGGTAGGAAAAAGAAAATAAACCCCGGACCGACCTAATAAATACGTATAAAAGAATTCGTCATCAAGTATTCTGTCATTGATCTTTGTTGAATTATCGGTTAACGCTTGTACAAATAACTACCTACTATCCAATATCCTAAGAGAGGTGCTACGAGTACATTATAATTTTAATAAATTAATACAGTAATTCTTCCGCCCCTATGGATAGGTAGTACTAACCAAAACTTGTAATTTGTCACTTAACAGGCAAAGCTTAATCAATATGGTTGTGGTACATAATGAGGAAGTTTCTTAAAATACCCACCACCTGTCTACTGGCTTAACTAGGTTTTTGGGCGTCCAAATCCACAAAGATGTTATGGTATAATAAAATAAAAATCAGGATTAGAAGAGGTTCTTATAGGAGAAACGAAGACAATTTTATGGGTTTGGTACACTGCATAAAACCATCTGTTATCGACGGAATTAATAAACAATATAGAACAGAACCTTTGGATCGATATACGTTTGACTTTTATTTAATGCACCATACCATGCACACGTTCAAGCTGTACCTACTGGTCGTATGGATGGAACTATAAATTGTGTGGTACCCACGCGCATTTATCCGTCCAATTAAACTAACACAACAACAGATTCTGATTCTGACACAGGGGTAACATAACAATAATTTCCGATTGAAAGAATTATTAAAATCAATACTATCACGAAATGTAAAAAATCGTTATCGATCTGACCAGACGAAAAAAGTTACTCGGGTCGAAGGTCACTAAAACGGGGGCTTTCGTGGTTTCAGCGAACCAATGTTGCAATTTTGACTTGATTTTCTAACAAACACACACAAACTTATAAGCTTTCAAATGTATTACTAAGATTTGTACATGGTAGACATGTACAAATGTATGTATATAAATTACCTGCTCTACAATAATGTCTTTACTAATTGCAATGATGAGACTTAATTTGGATGAAAATCTTCACGATTTGACGTAATGTTTTTATTTTTTGCGAGAATGAGTCCTTTAGCTTCTAACCATGGCTCTGCTATAATAAGCACGGGCATGAATACTCATCTACTTAAAGTCGTCGCACACCTAACAATTACGGCTCCGGCACGGCTCTAATCCAGCTATTTCATTGTCATTTAAGTATGTACTTTAAATCGTATGTCGTATGACATATTTCATAACGTCAATATAAAAAAGCGTAGGCGCGCCGGCCGCGCGCCGGCGCGGGGCGCCGCCCGACTCGACGCGACGTCGCTCTTACAACCTTTTTGTATTGCTTCTAACACCGTGCTTGAGCCGTGGTGGAGCCGTCCTTGATCCGTGCTTGTTAAGTGGACGATGGGTGACCTTTATTTTTTAGTTAACGACGAATACAGCTGTTTACACATAATGCTGCAGTGGCAGCGGCACCGGCACCGCCGCTACACTAGTCCCAATTGGATTTGTATGGACATACGACGCCGTGGCGGCACCGACAAAGCTGTGTATGTTTAAACGCACCGAGGCGGCGGCGCACTGTGTCGCTAACGTGCCGCTGCCGCTGCAGCTTATTATAAACAGCCTTCATCCTCATAAAATGTCCATGGAGTACGAAACCACAAGTTTAATATAAAAACGGAACTGAACGAAAGACTCGCAAAGTCCAACTTATGTACGATTGTGCGTGAAGCGTTTAAAATAAAAATATATAAAATACGTACACAGACACACTAGCGGCAGCGACCAACCGGGCGGCCAGCAGAACCCCGCGGTTGGCTACTTTTTTAATTTAATATGCCTACACAATCCAAATACCTAGCAAATCAGACTGTTCGTATCGCCATACAACTACGTCTGTCGGTCACCAACTACATATCCTCATTTTTGAATCTAGACATCAATTGAAATTGTCACTGATGATGTATTTTTGTTGCCGTTGTAACAGCAAATAACGAAAACAATAAAATTAATGCTATTATAGGAAGCCTATGCAACAAAAGTGATTTTTATTAATTCCTTGACATTAAGCGTTTCTACACTATGCTGCCGTCACCGCACTGAAGCCGCGCCTTAGTGAGAGTAAATGTCAGGAAGAATTGTCAAATATTCAAGTCATTCCTTTGATACAATTTATCTGACGTTGGAAAGATCGGCCTTTGTGGTGGACTGTGGTGTTGCTATGACTATTACTGGCTTTAGCCAGTGGTGGTTTTTAAACCACCCTGTTCCTACTCTTGCTCTTCGAGCCGGAGCCCTGGCATCCCAGTCTTTCGCAGCTCCGGATCGAGCATCTGCCCAACTGGGCACCATCTGTGGTGGTCTAATGGCTCTTTGAGGCTCGTGCGGAACGCGACCCGCCGTACGCTCGGATTTGGTTCAGGTCGGGCGGCGAGAAACCCATACTCACCGTTCGCGGGCTTGTGCTTACGGTGGTCGAAGAGGCTCCGTACCCTAAGAATGAAAAAAGATTGACGTGTAATTTATTTCGGCCGTTAAAAAGTTATGGAATGGTTTTTGTTCAATAATAAGTAGTTATGTGGAAATTTACGTTGGGTAACGTGAAAATGCACGTCAGGATACAGCAATGTTTCATACCACCATGCTTGTTAAATTTCTGATAATTGACTAACACACCAATAGTCCTGCATTAGATGGTGAAAGTACCGTTAAAATATAATACTGTGGAATGGCAGGTTACCACACTCTTCCACGTTGATGACGTCGTCTGGACGTGAAGTGAAGACGTGGAAAGGCCTTCTAGTTGCGTTACGCAGAAGTGCCGCACAAACATTAGTGTCTGCTTTGTCTTCTTAACTAAAGCGCGGCATAAGAAGTATCCTAGAAATGCTGCGCTCCTGCCGTACAAGGTTGGGAAACATCTTACTAATAAGAAAAGGAATTGTTAGTTAAAAATAATAATAAATTCTTTGGAAACAGGCCACGCCCACGGTATCGCGTATTATACAGATGAAAATATCAGGAAGCATTCTTTATTCTGCAGTCAGATAAACTAAGTGAGAAAGCCATGTTTCGGCACAAATGGACCTGTTCAACCGGAGTAATACCACAACTTCACAGGAAACCAGCGAGAAATAATGTTTACTGTGTGTTTTGTCCTGTGAGCGAGGTTTTACCAACCTTCCTACCTTGCGTGTGGAGGTTATGGATTATTATTATTGTATTTTTTATGGGACAAGTCTGTAAACGAGCAGGCAGATCACCTGGTAAGCAGCCGGCGCCGCTCATGAACACCCGAAACATGAGAGGCGTTACAAGTGCATTACCGGTCTTTTGGGATTAGGAATTCGAAGATTGTTTGGGATTAGGGAGATTGGGGGGGAATAAGGCCTTCGAGAACCTCACTCACACGACGGAACACAACGCAAGCTGTTGTTTCACGTCGGTTTTCTGTAAGGCCGGTAGATCCGGCACGTCTCGTGCGGAAACATGGGTCTCCCACACTTGAATTTATGTAGTGGAACCGTAATTCAGCATTGGACTGTCACGATCCGTTTATGGTATATTCGAGAGGAGCCACCCCATATAAAAAACTGGTACACAGAACCTTTCGTGCTCGAGTCTGATTTGTACTTGGTTATTTTCCGGGACCATACCTTCTCCCACCTTGGGACCAGTTAAGTCCTTCGCGGCTCTGCATGGGGCATCAGGGACTCATCTGTGTTGGTCTGATGCCACATTTGTGGAATGCGAGACGCCGTACCGCACGG